TTCACCATCCTCCCCAGATCCATCTTCCTCCTCACCTCTATCCTCATGCTAATCATTTACAACCTTATCTTCCTCTTGTTCATCATCATCAGTTTCATCGGCATGGAGCATGAAGCTAAGCAAGTGGGAACCTGCAAAAGAACCCAGATCTAGTGTTGGGTAAAAGGAGAGAAAATGAAAGGAACCAGATTTGGGTTGGGTAAGGGGAGAGAAAATGAAAGGATCTAGATGTTGAAGATAAGGATTTAGGAACTCAACAGCTTGGGCTCCTTTGAACCCAGCAGCTTGGGCTCCTTCAAACCCAGCAGGTTGGGCTTCTTCGAACCTAGCGACTTGAGAAAGATCCTCATGCATTGTGGAGGCGATACGTTGACTGGCTATACCAGCATAAGGAGCTCAGGTTGTACCTAGATGTTAGTCAAATCAGGTTCACAGATGAGATTGTGGTGGAGATGGAGCCAAGATTCCAAGTGGCATTTAAGGCGATGGAAGAGCTGGAAAAAGGTGCCATTGCGAATCATGACAAAGGACGATGGTTGGACACTATTAGCTAAGGAATTCGAAGCTAGCGTCACTGCCCCAATTTTCTTCTTGCTCTTGAATTTCCTTCAAAAATCCTTCAATTTCCTTAAAAAGGGGCAAAACTAAACCTACAATGCTATGCAACATTTCTATTTAGGTTTAGTTTTTGGGTTTCAAGATGAACCTAGATGTAGGATTCCACAACAAGCCCATATCCCTTGCAAACCTAGATTTTTGAGTTCACAAGTGGATCCCTTTTAGATTCCTCCATCCAATATCTTTTCTTGATTTTTCTTTAGCTTTTTTACTCAAATTCATCTTTTTCCATGGTGGTTGTTAAGCTTCAATCTCTTTGAATTTTGAGTTTGAATGGAGAATGCTTTTTGTCTTTTTTTAATTTGGTCTCACTTTTCTGCTTCACTGTCCGGCCAACTAGGTGCGTTTGAAGTTAACGGAAAGTAATGGAGAGTGAGTATGTTTAACAGAGTGTATAACGGATGATGGTAAACGTAGTATTTCCCTTTTTTATAACTATAGATTGAAAGTTAGCCTTTTAGCATAAGTGCATATATAGTTTTTTTTTTTTTTAATTTAAATTGTATAATGAGAGATAATCTTCTCTCTTTTCTTAATTAACCTCACTTACATGCCATATAATTTGAATTTAAGACATTTTATTTTCACTTGAAGTAAATTATTACTAAACTACTTAAATAATTGACATTTATAGTTAAAAGTAATAGAATTTGCTTTTTTTTGTTATTCTTAAGTTACACAATAAAAAATAATTATTTTTTATTTTGTAATTTATTTTCCTCACATATTATACTATTTAAATTTAAAATTTTTTATTTTTTTAAAAATAAAATTATCATTAAATTATTTAAATTTAAAACAATAGTTTTGAAAAAAATTGTTTGTTCCTCAGGCTTTGTACAAAATAAAAAATCGAGGCTCGGTTCTAATAAAAAATGATTAATCTTAAAATCTTAATTTGAAATTAAAATCAAGACCATTTTCTGGTCTATTCCAATCCACTTGTTCGAGTTCGCAAGAGCTTTTAAATTTGCCTTTCGATCCCCTTTTATATATTTGTAATTAAGATTTATTAAAATATCGACCCCCCTCATTTTTTTTGAAAATAGGCAATGGAATATCGATCCCCCTCTAGACTCGGTTGCGAGTGGTAAATAAGGATGGCAATTTCCTCCGCGACCCGCGGAGGTTCACGGAGATACCCGCCACGTGGATGGAGATTCTCAGAATATTTCTACCCGTGGGGCGGGGATGGAGGTAATTTTTTACCCGTGAAATTTTGCGGGGAATTTTCTCCGCTCCGTGGGGAACCGTGGGGATCCATATAAAATAAAAAAAAATATAAATTTATTTTTATATATATATATTTTTTGTATATATATTAACAAT